CAGGACTGACATCACAGCACTGGCACATATCGCCATCAGATACTGTGTGAGCCGGCGAGCCATAACCGAGAAGAATATTTTCCCCTCAACATTCAACAGCGAAATGGGTCTAAATTGGGACAGACTTGTGGAGTCTCGCTCCTTGGGAATGTAGACCCTGCTAGCCCGTTGCCACGGGGAACATATGTGATTTAGGCTCCTAATCTCAGCAAGCGGTGAAGCATTCGTAGGACTTTTGGACAACGCTTGTACAGGATGTACGGAACACCATTCGGCCCTGGGGTGAACTTGCCGCTAGCTCTGTTTACAACTTCTTCGACCTCAGGCCAAGAGGGAGGTATCATTTTAAATGGTACCTTCGGCAACCCAGGCCGCTAGTGATCTCTGGGTTGTCATCGAGAGGTTCATTCCTTTTCCCATCTAACTACATCTTGAGTAGATGTGACTCATGCTCTTCTTTACCGACCACCCAGACTCGGTTGCTCGAACAGACCTCGGGCAAACTGGTACGGTTCCTAAAGAATTTCTCTCATTCCCTTTTGGTTCTTCTTCTGTTCTTACAGAAATGCTCAGTACGACAGAGAGCTCTGTGTCTGGCTCTCAGGTGTAACCAGACCTCATGCAGCCCCTCCCGTTCGCTACCTGTAGCGGCTTTGAACCATTTTCTGAGTGCGTTTTTGTCTTCTCTGCACTTCTCAATGTCCCTTTGCCTTCTCCTTTTTTGTTTTTTTGCTTGACGCCCGGCTGAGTCTTCTCGACTCGCGGGAACAGTGCTCGTATATTATATTACCAAACCGTGTTAGCTTGTCACCTAGCAACTTTTGCTTAAGTTTATGATTTATTTTCTGACAGTGTACCCTCCAGCTTGCACCACGACACTTTCTCGCTAGCAGGTGGAAACTTAATCTTCGAACGAACTTCTTCAGGAATCATCAAAAGTGCGACTCCGTAGTCGACGTCATGGAACTCTCCTAGCGAGTGGGGTTCACCCTGCTCGTAGTTCCCTGACGACTCATTAACTACCAAGGGAGTAGTAGTTATGCGACAATGTTTACTGCGTGGCGCACTCTCGCATTTCATCCGGCATGAGTTCTCAGACCATGCAACCACGTGAAGCTCTTTCCACAGGTACATTGCCAGCCCTGTCTTTGGGAAATAATCTCAGTCAGGGGGCTAGCAGGGTCGTTGCCCAGTTTAAAGCCAGTCCACGATGACACTGTAACACATCAGTTCTCTGGTACTGTGGTTGCCATAACGACACTAACACATCAGTTCTCTGGTACTGTGGTTGCCATAACGACATTAACACATCAGTTCTCTGGTACTGTGGTTGCCATAACGACACTAACACATCAGTTCTCTGGTACTGTGGTTGCCATAACAACACTAACACATCAGTTCTCTGGTACTGTGGTTGTCATTATGACACTGTAACACATCAGTTCTCTGGTACTGTGGTTGCCATTATGACACTCTAACATAACACATCAGTTCTCTGGTACTGTGGTTGCCATTATGACTCTCTAACATAACACATCAGTTCTCTTTTACTGTGGTTGCCATTATGACACTGTAACACATCAGTTCTCTGGTTACCTAGAAGCCCAAAGAAATCATGATGCGCTGATTTTACGTCTCTCCCAAATGCCCCTCAGTCCCTCTGGGACTCAAAGAGTTAATCATTTTTGGGTGCTTCGTTAAGTTTATAGGACTGTGCACTAAACGGAAAAAGAACATTCCTCTATATGTAGATATCGCCCCAAAAAAAAAAAAAAAAAAACCAGAAAGAATTACGTAATGTATGTTCCAGAACATACATTATGTAATTCTTTCTGGGATTTTCCAGAACGTCTCGAAAGTTCCTGCAAATCCTCGAAATAAAATTTTTTTTCTTTAATTTTGACCAGTTTGCTTTGAAAAATGTCCGGTTTGATTAAAAAAAAAAAAAAATCAAAATTGTTTGAAAATCGTCCAGTTTGATTTTTGAAAAATGTCACCAGTGGTTTAAAAATCGTTCGGTTTGATTTGAATAACGTCCTGGATGATTTGAATAACGTCCTGGATGATTTGAATAACCGTCCAGAATAAAGCGAAAATGGTATAATAGTATATATATATATATATATATATATATGTATATATATATATATATATGTGTGTGTGTGTGTGTGTGTGTGTGTGTGTATACAAGTGTGTGTACATATTTGCGTGTATATATATATATGTGTGTGTGTGTGTGTAAAATTCTGAGAGGCAAATAAATATAATAACATGGCTGAAATCATCATCATAAACATTACCAGTTTCCACTTCTGCCGTTAAGCGTAATGGGAAGGTAAAGTTTGCGATCCATTGCTTGACGGACAGCAATTACTATTGTCACTCCGTGTCTCGCTGTAGAAGCTCTTGAATGTCCATATCTCCTAGGGTGACCTCTTGCGTTAACTTCAGTTTTTGTTCCTTGTGTAGCGCTTGCTGTGGTAGTTATGGCTGCAGTCTGACTTGATGACCAAACCATTCGCTCTTCTATTTCTCCATGAATTTGCTGCATGACGCTCCTACAGAGGCTCTGAGAATATTTCCTACTTTGTCTGGGATGGTCAAGTGGGCACATTTTCTCAAGCATCTCATTTCACAGATATTCATTGGTTGCAATCATATAAAATGTATAAACAAATAAAGCAAAAGTTAAAGTCTAAAGGATCGACTTCATTGCGCCCGTTTTTATCCCATATGGCTCAATCTTTCCCTCTACAGAACAGCTAGCCGCCTGCCGAGAGCATCGCACGCAGCATAAACTCAGTAATCTCCTTAAAAATTGCACGCGTGAACTGAACCGACGACCCTTACAGTGTGAGGTAAGCGGCTTGACCACTTCGCTAAAATACTTCAAAGATCACTTATATAAATACTTGGTTGGGGGGGGGGGGGGGGGGGGGGGGCTATTTTGTTCTCTTACAAATTATTGCATAGCATTTCATACAAACCGTTTAGAAACAAGGGAACACATGTGGCTCCTAGTAGCCAGTCATTTTTGAAGAAAGTCCGGAAAGTCAGGATCTAAATCAACGACTTCCGACCCGCAGGCGAACGTATAGCCGCTACACCACGACGATTCCCTTCTGGGGGTGGAAAGAGGAGCTCCAAATGGCTTACTTTTGAATGACCAACAAAGATAACAACACATTTGAAGTAATATATCGGGAGGTTCCCAAGCTCTGGGATCAGATGTTCTGGAAGGCGTTGTGAGGTTCCCAAGCTCTGGGATCAGATGTTCTGGAGGGCGTTGTGAGGTTCCCAAGCTCTGGGATCAGATGTTCTGGAGGGCGTTGTGAGGTTCCCAAGCTCTGGGATCAGATGTTCTGGAGGGCGTTGTGAGGTTCCCAAGCTCTGGGATCGGATGTTCTGGAGGGCGTTGTGAGGTTCCCAAGCTCTGGGATCAGATGTAACGAGAAGGTTCAGTTAGGAAAATTAATTGTTCCTCTGTGCTTGTTTGTTAAGGAAAACATAATCAACATCTGTTTCTTCTGCTAGTCCCTGCCCTGTGGTGTTGGTAGTCATGTCTATCCACAACCTTCAGTCTTGTATACTTTCAGTCTTCTTCGATCCTTCTCTCAGAAAACATATCAGGAGGCCGTTAGCCTTTATGAAAGCTATCGTGCAGTCCATATCCTCTCGTGTAGCACACAGCCGGATGATTCGGTATTTGCTGGAGCACCTGACTTCGAGGTTTCCCCACAAGTCACTGAGGTTCAGCACAGTCATCAGCATCACGTTACCAACACACTGAAGATTACCTGCAATGATTCTCCTCATCTTCTTCATTTTTGCAGTGCACTCATGCAGGTTTCTTTCAGTGGCTGTACCCAAATGTCATGTTTTCTCTGACAGGCTTTCTCTTCACTTTTGCCTGGCTCTGCCTTCATGTCTTGTTTCTTCTCACATACTCCACCTTTTCTTGCTCAAACTGGAGGTGCTTGGCAGACATGGTGATTGAACTCTGGCTTTAAATTGGGGAGACATCTTGGATGAACTCCGACTTTTAGCTTGGCAGACATGGTGGATGAAATCTGGCTTTAAACTGGGCAGACATGGTGGATCAACTCTGGCTTTAAGCTTGGCAGACATGTTGGATCAACTCTGGCTTTAGCTGGGGAGACATGGTGGATGAATTCTGGCTTTAAACTGGGCAGACATGGTGGATGAACTCTGGCTTTAACATACTTTCATGGATCTTTTAAGAGGATTTCAAAATATGTTAACTAGAACTTTGTAGGTTTTCTTCAACTAGCATAACCACCATCTTTATTTTAAGGTCAACGGCAACAGCATCAACATAACAACTGCCCTCCCAACTGAAACTGTAAGTACCAATTCCTAAAATATCTCGGCTAACTAAGCTTTCAAGTGAAAACAAATTGTGAGCACACACAAAGAAAAAACCCACACAACTTGACCAGACTTTCATGTATATACACACAACACAAAGAAAAACCCACACAACTTGACCAGACTTTCATGTATATACACACAACACAAAGAAAAAACCCACACAACTTGACCAGACTTTCATGTATATACACACAACACAAAGAAAAAACCCACACAACTTGACCAGACTTTCATGTAGATACACAACACAAAGAAAAAACCCACACAACTTGACCAGACTTTCATGTAGATACACACAACACAAAGAAAAAACCCACACAACTTGACCAGACTTTCATGTAGATACACAACACAAAGAAAAAACCCACACAACTTGACCAGACTTTCATGTAGATACACACAACACAAAGAAAAAACCCACACAACTTGACCAGACTTTCATGTAGATACACAACACAAAGAAAAAACCCACACAACTTGACCAGACTTTCATGTATATACACACAACACAAAGAAAAAACCCACACAACTTGACCAGACTTTCATGTAGATACACACAACACAAACATAGTTCCAGCATATAAGTAAGAAGTCAACATTTGTGGCGATCAAAAGTGATGGCTTCGTCTCTTCCTCCCAGTGTACTGTGTGTCTGGTCTGGTTTCCCTGAGGATGCAGCAAGACAATGACAGTTAACGCTTGTTCTTCTATGAAACAATAACACTGGTTTCCCTGAGGATGCAGCAAGACAATGACAGTTAACGCTTGTTCTTCTATGAAACAATAACACTGGTTTCCCTGAGGATGCAGCAAGACAATGACAGTTAACACTTGTTCTTCTATGAAACAATAACACTGGTTTCCCTGAGGATGCAGCAAGACAATGACAGTTAACGCTTGTTCTTCTATGAAACAATAACACTGGTTTCCCTGATGATGCAGCAAGACAATGACAGTTAACGCTTGTTCTTCTATGAAACAATAACACTGGTTTCCCTGATGTATGATTTCACTGAGCCTGATTTCAACTCTGGTTAGATGTCTCAGGGTAACAGCAGATACAATTAAACAAAGACACCACAAGAAAAACCAGGAATCAAACCAGTAGTTGTTTCTTACAAAGCAACAGACGAGATGGCTTGGCCATGTGACAGACGTGATGGCTTGGCCATGTGACAGACGTGATGGCTTGGCCATGTGACAGACGTGATGGCTTGGCCATGTGACAGACGTGATGGCTTGGCCATGTGACAGACGTGATGGCTTGGCCATGTGACAGATGAGATGGCTTGGCCATGTGACAGATGAGATGGTCTGGCCATGTGACAGACGTGATGGCTTGGCCATGTGACAGATGAGATGGCTTGGCCATGTGACAGATGAGATGGCTTGGCCATGTGACAGATGAGATGGCTTGGCCATGTGACAGATGAGATGGCTTGGCCATGTGACAGATGAGATGGCTTGGCCATGTGACAGACGTGATGGCTTGGCCATGTGACAGATGAGATGGCTTGGCCATGTGACAGACGTGATGGTCTGGCCATGTGACAGATGAGATGGCTTGGCCATGTGACAGACGTGATGGTCTGGCCATGTGACAGATGAGATGGCTTGGCCATGTGACAGACGTGATGGCTTGGCCATGTGACAGATGAGATGGCTTGGCCATGTGACAGATGAGATGGCTTGGCCATGTGACAGACGTGATGGCTTGGCCATGTGACAGATGAGATGGCTTGGCCATGTGACAGATGGTCTGGCCATGTGACAGATGAGATGGTCTGGCCATGTGACAGATGAGATGGTCTGGCCATGTGACAGACGTGATGGCTTGGCCATGTGACAGATGAGATGGCTTGGCCATGTGACAGATGAGATGGCTTGGCCATGTGACAGATGAGATGGCTTGGCCATGTGACAGATGAGATGGCTTGGCCATGTGACAGACGTGATGGCTTGGCCATATGACAGATGAGATGGCTTGGCCATGTGACAGATGAGATGGCTTGGCCATGTGACAGATGAGATGGCTTGGCCATGTGACAGATGAGATGGCTTGGCCATGTGACAGATGAGATGGCTTGGCCATGTGACAGATGAGATGGCTTGGCCATGTGACAGATGAGATGGTCTGGCCATGTGACAGACGTGATGGCTTGGCCATGTGACAGATGAGATGGCTTGGCCATGTGACAGATGAGATGGTCTGGCCATGTGACAGATGAGATGGCTTGGCCATGTGACAGACGAGATGGCTTGGCCATGTGACAGACGAGATGGCTTGGCCATGTGACAGACGAGATGGCTTGGCCATGTGACAGACGAGATGGCTTGGCCATGTGACAGATGAGATGGTCTGGCCATGTGACAGATGAGATGGTCTGGCCATGTGACAGACGAGATGGCTTGGCCATGTGACAGACGAGATGGCTTGGCCATGTGACAGACGAGATGGCTTGGCCATGTGACAGATGAGATGGCTTGGCCATGTGACAGACGTGATGGCTTGGCCATGTGACAGATGAGATGGTCTGGCCATGTGACAGATGAGATGGTCTGGCCATGTGACAGATGAGATGGTCTGGCCATGTGACAGATGAGATGGTCTGGCCATGTGACAGATGGTCTGGCCATGTGACAGATGAGATGGTCTGGCCATGTGACAGATGGTCTGGCCATGTGACAGATGAGATGGTCTGGCCATGTGACAGATGAGATGGTCTGGCCATGTGACAGATGAGATGGTCTGGCCATGTGACAGATGAGATGGTCTGGCCATGTGACGAGATAGTCTTGCCACATGACGAGAATTTCCTGGTAACAAATGTCATGCTGAACAAAAATAATAGACATATACAAGAGGAAGACCACACAGATATGGAACAACAGCATCAAAACAAACGTAAAGAAAAAATTACCAACTTATACAACAGACTGGAAAGCACACAGAAAATCCTTACATCTTTCTTCAACAGTTCAATGAAGTAAGTCGAGTAAGTAAAGAAGAAGGTGGTTAGATGCAAGAATCAATGATTTATACTCGAACTCACTGACTTTCTGCTTTGTATGCTTCTCTATTTTGTCAAGCCTGCTAGCCATGTTTTACAATTATTTTTGTTGTTATCAAAGTAGGGCCAAGTGCAAACAAACATACACACAGCTGAACAATAATTTATGCAATGAACTGTGTTTAAAAGCTCAACAAAAGGAGAAGGGAGACAATTTGTGCACAAAATAGATAAATTGACGGAGCCTTTCTCGGTAACAAAGGGCAAAGTAGTTCAAGCATCAGTTGCCAGCCAAACACTGATGGGATGGAAACTAAACCAAACATGTACAGTAATGAACAAAACAGCTGGCAGAGACCCATGACTGCTGGTCCACTCAAACCCAGGACTGCTGGTCCCCTCAAACCCATGACTGCTGATCCACTCAAACCCATGACTGCTGGTCCACTCAAACCCATGACTGCTGGTCCACTCAAACCCAGCACTGCTGGTCCACTCAAACCCATGACTGCTGGTCCTCTCAAACCCAGCACTGCTGGTCCACTCAAACCCAGCACTGCTGGTCCACATATCCAAGTGTTCAAACCCAGGACTGCTGGTCCACATATCCAAGTGTTCAAACCCAGGACTGCTGGTCCACATATTCAGGGTTCAAACCCAGGACTGCTGGTCCACACATTCAAGAGTTCAAACCCAGGACTGCTGGTCCACACATTCAAGAGTTCAAACCCAGGACTGCTGGTCCACATATTCAGTGTTCAAACCCAGGACTGCTGGTCCACATATTCAAGTGTTCAAACCCAGGACTGCTGGTCCACATATTCAGGGTTCAAACCCAGGACTGCTGGTCCACACATTCAAGAGTTCAAACCCAGGACTGCTGGTCCACATATTCAGGGTTCAAACCCAGGACTGCTGGTCCACACATTCAAGAGTTCAAACCCAGGACTGCTGGTCCACATATTCAGTGTTCAAACCCAGGACTGCTGGTCCACATATTCAAGTGTTCAAACCCAGGACTGCTGGTCCACATATTCAAGTGTTCAAACCCAGGACTGCTGGTCCACATATTTAAGTGTTCAAACCCAGGACTGCTGGTCCACACATTCAAGTGTTCAAACCCAGGACTGCTGGTGTTCAACTGTGATGCTTGGACCTTACTTTGTGACCATGACCTTGTAAAACTAATTTCCAACTTGCATGTTTTTTAAAGGACAAAAACTTTGTGGACTGCATAGCATTAAAAAGACAACACACAACAAATTATCTGCTGTAAACATGAAAGAGACATTAAGGTCAGAGAAAGCACACAAAATGACAGCGAATGGCAAACACAAGATGAAAAAAAGGACAGTTTTAAAGGAATACAAATGACAAGGTATTTTGGCTGTACCAACTAACACATATGCTTCTGAACACCATTATGAATGGGAAAGTTTCAGACAAATAGCCAGAAGGCATCAAAGATGCACATACAACACAACATGGTCAGAAGCTCAGCACTGAAACTGCTGGTTATCCATTATTGGCAACTTGGCTCACTAAAAGGACGCCATTAAATGAATACAAAAAGATCCTGCAGCAGTCAGATGAAAGCAGAGCAGTCAATGGCAGATACAAACAACACAGTTGCCTGATATTGTTCTCAGAGCAGTCAATGGCAGATACAAACAACACAGTTGCCTGATACTGTTCTCAGAGGAGATAACATCTGCCTAACTTGTTCTGTATAGCTTCCAGTAATAACGTCTGCCTAACTTGTTCTGTATAGCTTCCAGCAATAACGTCTGCCTAACTTGTTCTGTATAGCTTCCAGCAATAAAGTCTGCCTAACTTGTTCTGTATAGCTTCCAGCAATAAAGTCTGCCTAACTTGTTCTGTATAGCTTCCAGCAATAACATCTGCCTAACTTGTTCTGTATAGCTTCCAGCAATAACGTCTGTCTAACTTGTTCTGTATAGCTTCCAGCAATAACATCTGCCTAACTTGTTCTGTATAGCTTCCAGCAATAACATCTGCCTAACTTGTTCTGTATAGCTTCCAGCAATAACGTCTGTCTAACTTGTTCTGTATAGCTTCCAGCAATAACGTCTGCCTAACTTGTTCTGTATAGCTTCCAGCAATAACGTCTGCCTAACTTGTTCTGTATAGCTTCCAGCAATAACACCTGCCTAACTTGTTCTGTATAGCTTTCAGCAATAACTTCTGCCTAACTTGTTCTGTATAGCTTCCAGCAATAACACCTGCCTAACTTGTTCTGTATAGCTTCCAGCAATAAAGTCTGCCTAACTTGTTCTGTATAGCTTCCAGCAATAAAGTCTGCCTAACTTGTTCTGTATAGCTTCCAGCAATAACATCTGCCTAACTTGTTCTGTATAGCTTCCAGCAATAACGTCTGCTTAACTTGTTCTGTATAGCTTCCAGCAATAAAGTCTGCCTAACTTGTTCGGTATAGCTTCCAGCAATAACGTCTGCCTAACTTGTTCTGTATAGCTTCCAGCAATAACGTCTGTCTAACTTGTTCTGTATAGCTTCCAGCAATAACGTCTGTCTAACTTGTTCTGTATAGCTTCCAGCAATAACGTCTGTCTAACCTGTTCTGTATAGCTTCCAGCAATAACGTCTGCCTAACTTGTTCTGTATAGCTTCCAGCAATAACGTCTGCCTAACTTGTTTTGTATAGCTTCCAGCAATCACGTCTGTCTAACATGTTTGTTGAGCCAGCATCCATATGACAATATATCTGCAGTATAATTGAGCCAGCATCCATATGACAATATATCTGCAGTATAATGTTATGAACAAGTCTCTGTTTCAAATTTTAACAGCATTTTCTCAGTAGCAAAAATAAAAAAAAATAAAAAGTGACAGTGAAGAATAATGGTTGCACAAGGCTGGGTGACTTTCTCCCTCACTGCCCTCCCGCCCTAAATAATTTACACAACATTCTCAAACCTAACTCAATTATACATGCAGCCTAATGTGCGTACTATTTGTCTGTTAAACATTCTCACCCCAGTCATCCTCTGAAGTAAACCCCAGTCATCCTCTGAAGTAAACCCCAGTCATCCTCTGAAGTAAACCCAAGACCCCAGAATTGCACACAGACATAAAACAAATCTTAAAAAAAAAATACATGCCACTGTGGAGAAACTGGAGTCACCTTGTTACTCCACATTTTTAGGAAAGCTTGGAATGAAAGAACTGTACCAATAGACTGGCAAAGAGCCATTATAGCACCAGTATGGAAAAGAGAAGGCAATAAGCAAGATTGTAACACTTACAGAGGCATCTCCCTTTTAAGCCATGTAAGTAAAATGTTTGCCAAGATTCTGGAACAACAAATTAGATCTGTTGTAGAACTGATTCTGAGCCTAGCACAGGTCGCATTTAGGAAAGGAAGATTTTCACCCGAACTCAAAGTAGCAAAAAGACAAAAGAACACAGACACCAAATGATCACCGCTTTTATAGATCAAGAAAAAGCTTTAAACAGTGAACAAAGATTGACTACTATAGGATGTTTCTGAAAACTAAGGTGTAAATGGAACAATGCTAGATTGCGTAAGAGCTATTTATAGAGAAATTAAAAGCGCCATCAGAACAAGAGCTGGCCTTATAGATTGGTTCCCAGTAACATCAGAACAAGAGCTGGCCTTATAGACTGGTTCCCAGGAACATCTGGAGTTGGGCAAGGGTGTGTTCTTTCACCTCTTTTTTAAAATAATATTCATGGACAATAAGAATAAAATAGACAAAACAACACCAGATGTCGATAAAGAAAAGGACTTCAATGAGCTGCTCTTTGCCGACGATCAGTGCATATTCCACAGTGAAAGTAAACCGCTGCAGGACCACATAAACCAACTACACTACAGTTGCCTTAAACATCAAATGAAGGTCAGTATTGAAAAAATCAGAAGAAGTCATGAGAAAAAGCAGAGAGCAACAAACCATGAACATAAATATCAAAGTCTGAAACAAGTAGAAGACTGTAAATACTTGGGAAGCATCTTCACACACAATGGTAAAATAGATACAAGAATGAAAAACAAGAATCCAACAAGCCAACAATGTCATGTATCAACTTGCTCCAGTTTTCAAACGCACAGCTATCACAATAGAGACAAAAAGAGATATTACAACTACAATATTTATACTGACATTAGGTTATCAGTGTGAGATGAGATGTTTGAGAATGACTGAATAAAACCAGAAGAGATCGAGTCAGAAACGACGTGACCACAAGAACTGTTGGAACAACACCCATTGTCAAATTGATTAAGAAACAAAGAATGAAATGGTTTGGACATCTAATGAGAATAAAACCAACGATGCCAGCAGTAAGAGCACAACCTGGAAACCGAAACACCAAGAGGCAGGGGAAGACCAAGAAGAACATGGATTGAAGGAGTCAGTGACACCTTGAGACTGCATAACATCACCGCTTATCAAGCGACCAAACATGACCTGGCTTCGCTGCCGTACTGCGACACTCAACGACATAAGAAGATAGTAACAAAAGAAAGAAGAAGAAGACTAACAAATGTTTTTTTTTAAATTCATTTATATAAATTTTTTTAAAGAAATAAATGAGTAATCAATAGAAACTAACAGAGTTGAGAATAAAACAACTACAGACCATTAGGCCTAACAATACTGATATATTACTAAATTAAATTAAATTACATCAAGTTTTGTTAAATCACTGTAAAATCTATCTTACCTTCCACGGCGACGCCATCTTTCTTTCTTTTCTAAGACCCGGTCTCTTAAAGTCTTCAGTGGTTTCCTTTGCCTGTGTCAGAGACAGCAAGTTAAAATATTCTGAGTGCACCTTCATGATGACAGCACCACACAAGCTACATGATGGTAGCACCACACAAGCTACATGATGACAGCACCACACAAGCTACATGATGACAGCACCACACAAGCTATATGATGACAGCACCACACAAGCTACATGATGACAGCACCACACAAGCTACATGATGACAGCACCATACAAGCTACATGATGGCAGCACCACACAAGCTACATGATGACAGCACCACACAAGCTACATGATGACAGCACCACACAAGCTATATGATGACAGCACCACACAAGCTACATGACAGCACCACACAAGCTACATGATGGCAGCACCACACAAGCTATATGATGGTAGCACCACACAAGCTACATGATGGCAGCAACACACAAGCTACATGATGGCAGCACCACACAAGCTACATGATGGTAGCACCACACAAGCTACATGATGGTAGCACCATACAAGCTATATGATGACAGCACCATACAAGCTACATGATGACAGCACCACACAAGCTACATGATGGCAGCACCACACAAGCTATATGATGTCAGCACCATACAAGCTACATGATGGCAGCACCATACAAGCTATATGATGACAGCACCATACAAGCTACATGATGACAGCACCACACAAGCTACATGATGACAGCACCACACAAGCTACATGATGGCAGCAACATACAAGCTATATGATGTCAGCACCATACAAGCTACATGATGGCAGCACCACACAAGCTACATGATGACAGCACCATACAAGCTATATGATGACAGCACCACACAAGCTACATGATGGCAGCAACACACAAGCTACATGATGGCAGCACCACACAAGCTACATGATGGTAGCACCACACAAGCTACATGATGGCAGCACCACACAAGCTACATGATGACAGCACCACACAAGCTACATGATGACAGCACCACACAAGCTACATGATGGCAGCACCACACAAGCTACATGATGGTAGCACCACACAAGCTACATGATGGTAGCACCACACAAGCTACATGATGACAGCACCACACAAGCTACATGATGACAGCACCACACAAGCTACATGATGGCAGCACCACACAAGCTACATGATGGTAGCACCACACAAGCTACATGATGGCAGCACCACACAAGCTATATGATGACAGCACCACACAAGCTACATGATGGCAGCACCACACAAGCTATATGATGACAGCACCACACAAGCTATATGATGGTAGCACCACACAAGCTATATGATGACAGCACCACACAAGCTATATGATGACAGCACCACACAAGCTATATGATGGCAGCACCACACAAGCTATATGATGGCAACACCACACAAGCTATATGATGGCAGCACCACACAAGCTATATGATGACAGCACCACACAAGCTACATGATGGCAGCACCACACAAGCTACATGATGGCAGCACCACACAAGCTACATGATGACAGCACCACACAAGCTACATGATGACAGCACCACACAAGCTACATGATGGCAGTACCACACAAGCTATATGATGACAGCACCACACAAGCTATATGATGACAGCACCACACAAGCTATATGATGACAGCACCACACAAGCTACATGATGGCAGTACCACACAAGCTATATGATGGCAGTACCACACAAGCTACATGATGACAGCACCACACAAGCTTCATGATGACAGCACCACACAAGCTTCATGATGACAGCAAAACACAAGCTAATGTTGCCAAGTATTGATTAGAGTTTATGCTGCCTGTCTAATGTTGCCAAGTATTGATTAGAGTTTATGTAGCCTGTCTAATGTTGCCAAGTATTGATTAGAGTTTATGTAGCCTGTCTAATGTTGCCAAGTATTGATTAGAGTTTATGTAGCCTGTCTAATGTTGCCAAGTACTGATTAGAGTTTATGTAGCCTGTCCAATGTTGCCAAGTATTGATTAGTTTATGCAGGCTGTCTAATTTTTCCAAGTATTGATTAGAGTTTATGTAGCCTGTCTAATGTTTCCAAGTATTGATTAGAGTTTATGTAGCCTGTCTAATGTTGCCAAGTATTGATTAGAGTTTATGTAGCCTGTCTAACGTTTCCAAGTATTGATTAGAGTTTATGCAGCCTGTCTAATGTTGCCAAGTATTGATTAGAGTTTATGCAGCCTGTCTAATGTTGCCAAGTATTGATTAGAGTTTATGTAGCCTGTCTAATGTTGCCAAGTATTGATTAGAGTTTATGCAGCCTGTCTAATGTTGCCAAGTATTGATTAGAGTTTATGCTGACATCAGGATCTGTAACGTCTGCCAACAGTCAGCTTTTCGAACCCCCCCCCCCCCCCCCCCAAAAAAAAAGTGGTCTTTACCAGAGGAAACTTAGAACTGAAAAGTTTTGGCTTTTGCTGATCCAGCATGTGTCCATTGTCTGATCTCTCTTCTGCTGCAGGCTTAACATGATGATACATGATTCATCATCTCCCCCTATGTGGAAGAGAAATGCGTGGCCCTTCCCTCTGTAATGCAGAAAGTGGTTCAAACACCATCCTATGTGTCACCCCTTTAGGAGGTTGATCAACATCTGCTGTACCCAATGCCAACACACCTGCTGTTTTTATAAACCCTATATTCCTGCATCTGTTTTAATGAGATTGTGGTGGGTTTTTTTCTGTTGCAACATCATGCACTTGACCTGGCCGTCACTGACTGCCGCCCTGTCTACAACATTAGCGCCTAGTCTGTCACTGTTGTCTCCTAAAGGACTTTATTCCTTGTAACATCAAGATATCTCCTGAAGGACTTTATCCCTTATAACATCAGGATATCTCCTGAAGGACTTCATTCCTTATAACATCAAGATATCTCCTAAAGGACTTTATTTCTTATAACATCAAGATATCTCTTAACATCAAGATATCTCCTGAAGGACTTTATTCCTCATAACATCAAGATATCTCATGAAGGACTTTATTCCTCATAACATCAAGATATCTCCTGAAGGAATGTATTCCTTATAACATCAAGATATCTCCTGAAGGAATGTATTCCTCATAACATCAAGATATCTCCTGAAGGAATGTATTCCTCATAACATCAAGATATCTCCTGAAGGAATGTATTCCTTATAACATCAAGATATCTCCTGAAGGAATGTATTCCTTATAACATCAAGATATCTCCTGAAGGAATGTATTCCTTATAACATCAAGATATCTCCTGAAGGAATGTATTTCTTATAACATCAAGACATCTCCTGAAGGAATGTATTCCTTATAACATAAAGATATCTCCTGAAGGGATGTATTCCTTATAACATCAAGATATCTCATCAAGGACTTTATTCCTCATAACATCAAGATATCTCCTGAAGGAATGTATTCCTCATAACATCAAGATATCTCCTGAAGGAATGTATTCCTCATAACATCAAGATATCTCCTGAAGGAATGTATTCCTCATAACATCAAGATATCTCCTGAAGGAATGTATTCCTTATAACATCAAGATATCTCCTGAAGAAATGTATTCCTTATAACATCAAGATATCTCCTGAAGGAATGTATTCCTTATAACATCAAGATATCTCCTGAAGGAATGTATTCCTTATAACATCAAGATATCTCCTGAAGTAATGTATTCCTTATAACATCAAGATATCTCCTGAAGGAATGTATTCCTCATAACATCAAGATATCTCCTGAAGGAATGTATTCCTTATAACATCAAGATATCTCCTGAAGGAATGTATTCCTTATAACATCAAGATATCTCCTGAAGGAATGTATTCCTTATAACATCAAGATATCTCCTGAAGGAATGTATTCCTTATAACATCAAGACATCTCCTGAAGGAATGTATTCCTTATAACATCAAGATATCTCCTGAAGGAATGTATTCCTTATAACATCAAGATATCTCCTGAAAGAATGTATTCCTTATAACATCAAGATATCTCAGCACGTGCACTGAGTTACAATCAGACAGGATGGACAATATGCCACTGTCCTTCTGTTATCTCAGTGCTGTCCCCACATCCTGACTATTTATAGTGAATACAAAGTTAATGTAAGCTGCTGTGCAGGTATTTCAAACAATAACAAACTCAATTAAACATTGTAGGATTGATTTTAGGTTAATTAGTGATATTCACGTCAATAAAATGTTATAAAACTGTTTATAAAATTGTCATCACCCAGTCTGGTAGGGGAAGTTATCGGATCCTTTCCAGTCTGGTAGGGGAAGTTGTCGGATCCTTCCCAGTCTGGTAGGGTGAGTTGTCGGATCCTTCCCAGTCTGGTAGGGGAAGTTGTCGGATCCTTCCCAGTCTGGTAGGGGAAGTTGTCGGATCCTTCCCAGTCTGGTAGGGGAAGTTGTCGGATCCTTCCCAGTCTGGTAGGGGAAGTTGTCGGATCCTTCCCAGTCTGGTAGGGGAAGTTGTCGGATCCTTCCCAGTCTGGTAGGGGAAGTTGTCGGACCCTTCCCAGTCTGGTAGGGGAAGTTATCGGATCCTTCCCAGTCTGGTAGGGGAAGTTATCGGACCCTTCCCAGTCTGGTAGGGGAAGTTATCGGATCCTTCCCAGTCTGGTAGGGGAAGTTATCGGATCCTTCCCAGTCTGGTAGGGGAAGTTATCGGATCCTTCCCAGTCTGGTAGGGGAAGTTGTCGGATCCTTCCCAGTCTGGTAGGGGAAGTTATCGGATCCTTCCCAGTCTGGTAGGGGAAGTTGTCGGATCCTTCCCAGTCTGGTAGGGGAAGTTATCGGATCTTTCCCAGTCTGGTAGGGGAAGTTGTCGGATCCTTCCCAGTCTGGTAGGGGAAGTTATCGGATCCTTCCCAGTCTGGTAGGGGAAGTTATCGGATCCTTCCCAGTCTGGTAGGGGAAGTTATCGGATCCTTCCCAGTCTGGTAGGGGAAGTTATCGGATCCTTCCCAGTCTGATAGGGGAAGTTGTCGGATCCTTCCCAGTCTGGTAGGGGAAGTTGTCGGATCCTTCCCAGTCTGGTAGGGGAAGTTATCGGATCTTTCCCAGTCTGGTAGGGGAAGTTGTCGGATCCTTCCCAGTCTGGTAGGGGAAGTTATCGGATCCTTCCCAGTCTGGTAGGTGAAGTTATCGGATCCTTCCCAGTCTGGTAGGGGAAGTTATCGGATCCTTCCCAGTCTGGTAGGGGAAGTTATCGGATCCTTCCCAGTCTGGTAGGGGAAGTTATCGGATCCTTCCCAGTCTGGTAGGGGAAGTTATCGGATCCTTCCCAGTCTGGTAGGGGAAGTTATCGGATCCTTCCCAGTCTGGTAGGGGAAGTTATCGGATCCTTCCCAGTCTGGTAGGGGAAGTTATCGGATCCTTCCCAGTCTGGTAGGGTAAGTTATCGGATTCTTCCCAGTCTGGTAGGGGAAGTTATCGGATCCTTCCCAGTCTGGTTCTCAACAAATGTGGCTCAGCACAAATCCTCTCTCTCCCCCCTCCCCTCCCCCCCCCCCCCCCATATACCCTCAGGTGATGTAGTGTTAACATTAAATTTGAACAAATGAATACATTAACATGACATCTCCAGTTACCCTTTGACATGTTTCTGTCGCACATTTGTGGCCGTGTTCTCTGTGCCCAGGCCCTCAGGCAGAGCTTGTGTTGATCCACCACAGAAAAGGCACAAAAATATTCTGAAGAAAAACATTATGACAAAGTTGAGAGAAGTCAGGGTATAACCACTACATTTAACAAGGGACTTCTTTGTAAACAAACATAGTCTGCTGGTATTTCTCCGGTCAACAATGCTGAATACTTTCTGCAGCCAATAAATTAAATTTAAAAAAATTATTATTTGACGTTGTAACTACTGCTGTGATACCTTCTGGGCCAGCAGTTTTACTACCTTCCAGGACACAAGAAAAGCATCCATTCCCATCCCCCAGGACACAAGTCAAGCATCCATTCCCATCCTCCAGGACACAAGACAAGCATTCATTCCCATCCCCCAGGACACAAGACAAGCATCCATTCCCATCCCCCAGGACACAAGACAAGCATCCATTCCCATCCTCCAGGACACAAGACAAGCATCCATTCCCATCAAAAGTATGTGTAATAGTATAATGTAGACAATATATCACACTGATTTCTTACTTTTTGGCTTTGGAACTATTCGGGAAGTCCACAACTAATCCTCCAGTAAAGCCAGCTTTCATGGCTTGCTGGGTCAGAAGCTCAAGCTAAAACAAACAATTTCAACAAATGAGGACACCAAACATACAACGTAACCGAACATACAACATAACCAAACATAACACGTAACCAAACATAACACATAACCAAACATACAACGTAACCGAACATATAACGTATACAGTTGTCGAGTTAATTAATTTCATCAAATATCTAATCCTCTATGTGATAAATTTGTCAGGATTCTGTTCACAAACAAATTAAACTTTAAATTGATTCACTCAACACTTGGTTTAAAAAAAAAAAAACATAGTATTAACAGCAGAAGCTGATCTAAAGTTGGCCTAGGTACTGTGATAAATACAAGCCGAGCAGCGTAATCTCAACACAAGCATATACACAAAGCTACATGACTACTGTGATACTAGGATCAATATATTCACATCTTAAAGGTGTCTTCACATCCACATGACAGAAAACAAACAAATGTCATAACCCCCCCCCCCCCCCCCCCCCCCTGAATTATGCGGTGGGCCTGAGACTAGCAACTACAAAATACTAGGTGACCACACACATATATATATATAACATGATCCTTGTCCAGACCTTCAGGCCTCTAATTCGACACCCGTATTGTACCGACCAATAACAAGCATATTTCTTCCTGTGAGTGTTCCCCCTGCAAACTCTAATAACAAGCATATTTCTTCCTGGGATGTTCCTACAAACTCCAATAACCAGCATATTTCTTCTGGGATGTTCCCTCTACAAACTGGGATGTTCCTACAAACTCCAATAACCAGCATATTTCCACCTTGTGGATGTGTAACCTTACCTGAGCACTGTTCTCTGGATACAGCTGAAAGACAGCTCTAGTGCCATTTCTCTGAAAAATGATATCTATAAAATTAATAAGAAAGTATATTAGAAGAAACAGACACATAAAAGGCTTAAACTCTTTGTACTGAGTTGAGTTTCCACTATGAACATGTCACGTCCTCCAAGATATCTCTGACAACTGTTTCATACAAGTAAAGATTTATTACAGATGCATCTTCAAGACACTTGTGTCTCGTCTGTCACATTCATATCATCATCTTAGGTGACAGATACACGTCATTCCCATCACAGCCTGCCTGCCTGACAGAACTCTCCAGTCACATGCAATCTTCTGGCCAGGAAATCTTTTGTGTCCATCTCTGGGCTGGGGGCCCCTGCCCCTCTTGCCTGCAATCAAACCTTCCTCTACTATTCTTTCTAATTCCCAGTGATGGTTGCCATGGCTCAAGTATTGAATTTTCTGAGACAAAATGTTTACAATCAATTTTCATTGAAGTTGTGACCTTATAAAGACCAGTGGTGACCTTATAAAGACCAGTGGTGACCTTATAAAGACCAGTTGTGACCTTATAAAGATCAGTGGTGACCTTATAAAGACCAGTGGTGACCTTATAAAGACCAGTTGTGACCTTATAAAGACCAGTGGTGACCTTATAAAGACCAGTGGTGACCTTATAAAGACCAGTGGTGACCTTATAAAGACCAGTTGTGACCTTATAAAGACCAGTTGCGTATCTTTTACAGGACATTGCAGAACAACCCCAACATTTTTGGCAGTTGTTTTTCTAGGCACATTTTACGTTCAGTAGTTTGCCACTGCTTTCTGAACATTCAGCTGTCGGCACCGCTGTCAAAACCAATGCAAGACAATCATCTACAGCTGAAATATAACCTGGCCCACTGCATTATGAAGCGCGTTCACAACGCCTAAGCCACTGGCGCTGACTGTGACCTTATAGGATGATATTTATCTTCTTTTTGTTCTACGATATTCTGAGAATCTTTCAGCTCAAAAGCCTGTATTGTCTTCCTGAATCATTAATGCATTTCTTGGGATAGATTTCCCCCGTTTTCCACATCAATTTTAGACTGTTTAAAGCCTTTAGCTGCTTCTAGACTGCATGACAAGTGAGTGCCCTGCTGTGTGATACTCCTGCTAACAGCATAGGGCACCCCAGAGGTTTCCACTGATCCCGTGGATACTCAGTTTGCACTGTGGCACTGCCCACACCCCAGAGGTTTCCACTGATCCCGTGGATACTCAGTTTGCACTGTGGCACTGCCCACACACCAGAATGTTTACCATGCTCTACCACATGGAAGCGCACTTAGGGATTTCCTCTTCCCAGAGACTTGAGACCAGAATGGCATTTCTCACAACTCTTCAGTACCGTTAGACAACTCTCCAGTACCGTTAGAGAACTCTCCAGTACCGTTAGAGAACTCTCCAGTACCGTCAGAGGACTCTTCCAGTACTGATAGAGAACTCTCCAGTACTGATAGAGAACTCTCCAGTACTGTTAGAGAACTCTCCAGTACTGTTAGAGAACTCTCCAGCCCTGTTAGAGGACTCTCCAGTACTGTTAAAGAACTCTCCAGTACTGTTAGAGAACTCTCCAGCACTGTTAGAGAACGGTTGTCCCTGATATCTTGTGCCTACCATTATATTGATAGTCTTCCATGAGCCACACCCTCTGTTAATGTTTTCTTTCCACCATTACAGCTTTCAATATGGATGAAGTAATTCTCTCTAAACCATTATAGTCTTCAATATGGATGAAGTAATTCTCTCCAAAGCACAATACTTTCAATATGGCTGGAGATTCTCTCCAGACCATTATAGCCTTCAGTATGGCCAGATTACTTCAATAATAAAAAAAATAAAAAAATTATGAGCCAGTTTCTGACAGTATTTAGATAAATATTTTGATATTCAATAAAATCAACATGTGACTCAACAATAGCCGGTAAACTGAAACATCAAACCGACATGCACAAATAAGAGAAGTGTAGATGATACCATAACTGAGTACAACGTCCGGAAGAATTTCAGCATTCTTTTGGCAGGAGAGTGGCACTTCTTGTCAGCATTACATAACCACTGCAGGGCTGAGATGCTGGTGAGAACAGACAGGCATCACCAAAAACTCAACTATCAGAAGTAAACATCAATATTTCCACAGCAGCAGACGTGAAATATCTACAGATAATTAAAATAAAATACCAGCATACATTGTAGTTATATGCAGATAGCAACATCATATATTAACTAGGTTTAAAAAAAAGAAAAACTTTCACTGCACACATGCACAACAGGTGTGCTCTTATCTTCTCCCATAAATCATACAATGAACTAGTAAACATAATTCCATGATATCAGAGTGAATTTAGCAGGACAACACAAGCAAGCAATCCTCTCTGTGTTGCTTGAAACATGTTAAAATTTAGCTGGACAACACAAGCAAGCAATCTTCTCTGAGTTTCTTGAAACATGTTAAAATTTAGCTGGACAACACAAGCAAGCAATCTTTTCTGAGTTGCTTGAAACATGTTAGAATTTAGCTGGACAACACAAGCAAGCAATCTTCTCTGAGTTGGTTTAAACATGTTAACATTGAGGCTGCATCAGTCTACCTGATTTACTCTTCTTGATTTTCAACTGCAAAGGCAATGTGAACATGCCCAAAGGTCTGTCTAACTTCTTGTTCTTATTTAAGAAAGTTTCCAGCATAATTGTAACATATGTTCTAGTCACCCAAACACAAGGTTGACATATCTTCTAGTCACCCAAACACAAGGTTGACATATCTTCTAGTCACCCAAACACAAGGTTGACATATCTTCTAGTCACCCAAACACAAGGTTAACATATCTTCTAGTCACCCAAACACGAGGTTGACATATCTTCTAGTCACCCAAACACAAGGTTGTCATATCTTCTAGTCACCCAAACACAAGGTTAACATATCTTCTAGTCACCCAAACACAAGGTTGACATATCTTCTAGTCACCCAAACACGAGGTTAACATATCTTCTAGTCACCCAAACACAAGGTTAACATATCTTCTAGTCACCCAAACACAAGGTTAACATATCTTCTAGTCACCCAAACACAAGGTTAACATATCTTCTAGTCACCCAAACACAAGGTTAACATATCTTCTAGTCACCCAAACACGAGGTTGACATATCTTCTAGTCACCCAAACACAAGGTTAACATATCTTCTAGTCACCCAAACACGAGGTTAACATATCTTCTAGTCACCCAAACACAAGGTTAACATATCTTCTAGTCACCCAAACACAAGGTTAACATATCTTCTAGTCACCCAAACACAAGGTTAACATATCTTCTAGTCACCCAAACACGAGGTTGACATATCTTCTAGTCACCCAAACACGAGGTTGTCATATCTTCTAGTCACCCAAACACGAGGTTAACATATCTTCTAGTCACCCAAACACAAGGTTGACATATCTTCTAGTCACCCAAACACGAGGTTGACATATCTTCTAGTCACCCAAACACGAGGTTGACATATCTTCTAGTCACCCAAACACGAGGTTGACATATCTTCTAGTCACCCAAACACAAGGTTGACATATCTTCTAGTCACCCAAACACGAGGTTGTCATATCTTCTAGTCACCAAGGTTGACAAACACCCAAAACACGAGGTTGTCATATCTTCTAGTCACCAAACACAAGGTTGTCACCCAAACACATATCTTCTAGTCACCCAAACACGAGGTTGACATATCTTCTAGTCACCCAAACAAAAGGTTGACATATCTTCTAGTCACCCAAACAAAAGGTTGACATATCTTCTAGTCACCCAAACACGAGGTTGACATATCTTCTAGTCACCCAAACACGAGGTTGACATATCTTCTAGTCACCCAAACACAAGGTTGACATATCTTCTAGTCACCCAAACATGAGGTTGACATATCTTCTAGTCACCCAAACATGAGGTTGACATATCTTCTAGTCACCCAAACACGAGGTTGACATATCTTCTAGTCACCCAAACACGAGGTTGACATATCTTCTAGTCACCCAAACACGAGGTTGACATATGTTCTAGTCACCCAAACAAAAGGTTGACATATCTTCTAGTCACCCAAACACGAGGTTGACATATCTTCTAGTCACCCAAACACGAGGTTGACATATGTTCTAGTCACCCAAACAAAAGGTTGACATATCTTCTAGTCACCCAAACACGAGGTTGACATATCTTCTAGTCACCCAAACACGAGGTTGACATATGTTCTAGTCACCCAAACAAAAGGTTGACATATGTTCTAGTCACCCAAACACAAGGTTGACACACAGACTAGTCAACAAGACACACAAATACCTTCAGATAAATTTTTTTCCTAACAATGTTTTTTTTTTCAGCTATAGAATTCAATTAATTTAGTCTGACAACATGTTACAAATCTGTCTTATAATAGCAAAAAAAAAATATCAAAACCATTTTGACTTTGGTGCAAATGGAAAGTATTTTCATACCTGATGACACCATCAAAAGTTCCCGGTCTGAAGGGTAGACCATCACCCATGTCTCCCAGAATCAGGTCTCCTTCAACCTCCCGCTCCCGTGCAACTGCTGTTAAACAAACAGAGTCAGTTGTTACAAATATGCAAAGCTGTAGCAGCGACAAGCAGAGCTTTCACTGATATGATTAGTGTCATCAGACACAATAGAAATGATGTGATTAATGTCATCAGACAGGGAGAACTGATGTGATTAATGTAATCAGACAGACACAAGAGAACTGATGTGATTAATGTAATCAGAAGACACAAGAGAACTGGTGTGATTAGTGTCATCAAACTCAAAGAGAACTGATGTGATTAGTGTCATCAAACACAAGAGAACTGATCCTCTCAGCTATTCCCTTTCTTAAAATGTTTTCCTTATGTTTATTGTTTACTGCCAATTACTTTAAGGGGTTTCATTGCAAATGAGAATGTACGGTGTTTAAAAGACAACCTTACAGATAACAGAACAAAAGTAGCATGAGAAAGAGGTGAAAGCAGTAATGGCAGTTTCCTGGTGGCCAGTACAGCCCAGCCCTGAGCAGCTACATCTATAAACTAGTGGAAAGTGATCAACAAGAGGCTTCAGTAGTACCTAGAAAGAATGATAATCTTCATAGATGAACCCAGTTGATTTAGAACAGGCATATCAACTCAGGATGAAGTCACATGCACATCCTTGAATACAGAAGAGGGCTATCAAGAAAACAAACAAGCAGCAGCAGTAATGGCTGACATGGAAAAGGGCTTGGACAACTGAAAGCCTGATATTGAAATCAGAAGAGACAAGATCACCCAGTTCATGACCTAACTGATTCACCCACTTCATGTCATAACTGATCACCCACTTCATGTCATAACTGATCAACGATTATCTGCATATCAGAAAAGTGGAGCTGAACCTGCAGAAAACAAAACTGCAACAAAAAAGCATGGTGAACCACAGGACTGACAAGAATGATCTCAAGCAAGTGATGTCCCCCAGATGTCCTGCCCATCCATGTTTGCTGGCTGATGACACAGCACATCTTGGTTCAGATTAATCTCTGCAAATTGCCTAGACAAGACTGCAGTCAACCATTGACAGACTGAAAGAATGGTCTGCAAATTGCCCAGACAAGACTGCAGTCAACCCTTGACAGACTGAAAGAATGGTCTGCAAATTGCCCAGACAAGACTGCAGTCAACCCTTGACAGACTGAAACAATGCTCTGCAAACTGGTCTTTGAAAATCAACCCCTTCAAGACATTGCATACTATATTCACCTTTCTGACTAAGCAACACTCAATGCATTTTAGAACAGGAAGACATACCCTGAAAAGGACAATTAACTCACTTATCTAGGTGCTACCCTTAACCCAAAGCTAACATCGAAGCCATAATTGGACACACCCCCCCCCCCCCCCCTACAGAAAGACAAAACCAGAAGATGTCAAAGGACATGTCTGAGCTATGACCAGCGGCCTATGCCCAACACTGTGGAAACAAGGTCCGGCTTGCAATCAACGGGAGGATGAACAATCAAAGATGATAGGCCAGTTATCTAAACTTTCTGCACTAGAAAAATACCACAGGCATAGGAAACTGTTTGAATTAAAGACCTCTCTATTAAATATACACTCAAAATATCAGCTTATACTATCTGACCCTAAAATAAAGTTGTCCTGATCCCAAAATAAAGTTGCCCACAATCCAAAAAGACCAAAACCAGCTGCTGACACTGAGGCAACAGACCACTATGTTTAGACTGCGAACTGTACAAGAAATTCAAGATAAGGGACTCATAACTGTGCCCATGTAGATGAACACCATCAAATACTGTTCCAGATCAGTGGAGGTCACACCACAACCATCACCTGAGAACCACTGGCAGGGACAGCTTGAGGACCACTGGCAGGGACAGCTTGAGAACCACTGGCAGGGACACCTGAGAACCACTGGCAGGGACAGCTTGAGAACCACTGGCAGGGACACCTGAGAACCACTGGCAGGGACACCTGAGAACCACTGGCAGGGACAAATAACAAGAATAGGTCTCATGAGATGCCAGATTCTCAGATGCTGCATGGACACCCTGTTTAAACTGTTTGGTGTCTTTGCTATAACAAATCTTGTTCTTTTTTAACTCTGGTCAACAATTCTAGTTATTCATCCACCTCTGGACTCTATAATAAATCAACAATGTTTCTTCTACACAAAAGATGATAATGACATGTTGACAACAGGCAACACAACAGCTAATGCACAATATGGTCAATATGAATTCACACTGTAAATGACAACAGGCAACACAACAGCTATACGCACAATATGAATTCACACTGTAAATGACAATAGGCAACACAACAGCTATACATACAATATGAATTCACACTGTAAATGACAATAGGCAACACAACAGCTATACGCACAATATGGTCAATATGAATTCACACTGTAAATGACAACAGGCAACACAACAGCTATACGCACAATATGGTCAATATGAATTCACACTGTAAATGACAACAGGCAACACAACAGCTATACGCACAATATGGTCAATATGAATTCACACTGTAAATGACAACATATGAATCAATAAATTTAAAACCCACTACCTGAAAATTTCAAATAATAACCTAAGACGGTTTGACCAACATTTGTTCAATTAAAAGAAATTCTACCAACTTTCAGCCCCATAATTCTACACTACATTTAATCTAATGCACCTGATTCTGATGGCTCGATCTAAGATAGCACAGACAGATATCTAAGATAGCATAGATAGATATCTAAGATAGCATAGACAGATATCTAAGATAGCATAGACAGATATCTAAGATAGCATAGACAGATATCTAAGATAGCATAGATAGATATCTAAGATAGCATAGATAGATATCTAAGATAGCATAGATAGATATCTAAGATAGCATAGATAGATATCTAAGATAGCATAGATAAGATAGCATGACTGGAGCTCTGTAATAAATAACCTACCCAACATAGAGGGGCTGATGTCGATGCCTACCCAGACATGGTCTGCTTCTGTCAGAACATCGCCACTTAAGCCAGAGCCACAACTGAAAGTGACAGAATTGTGTACATGTATGTTAGCCAGGAGTATAATAGGACAGGCCACAACTGAAAGTGACAGAATTGTGTACATGAGCCAGGAGTATAATGACAGGCCACAACTGAAAGTGACAGAATTGTGTACATGTATGTTAGCCAGGAGTATAATAGGACAGGCCACAACTGAAAGTGACAGAATTGTGTACATGTATGTTAGCCAGGAGTATAATAGGACAGGCCACAACTGAAAGTGACAGAATTGTGTACATGTATGTTAGCCAGGAGTATAATAGGACAGGCCACAAGTGAAAGTGAGAAGAATAATAGGACAGGCCACAACTGTACATGTATGTTACTCAGGAGTAAAATAGGACAGACCACAACTGAAAGTGACAGAATTGTGTACATGTATGTTAGCCAGGAGTATAATAGGACAGGCCACAACTGCATTCTATCAAATGAAAAACATTATGTGCCATAAATCCATGTCACTGGAGGTTAGGACAAAAATTCTTGATGATGGAGAGGCATGATTGCCTACACTAGTCAGCAGGCACTTGATGATGGAGAGGCATGATTGCCTACACTAGTCAGCAGGCACTTGATGATGGAGAGGCATGATTGCCTACACTAGTCAGCAGGCACTTGATGATGGAGAGGCATGATTGCCTACACTAGTCAGCAGGCTCTTGATGATGGAGAGGCATGATTGCCTACACTAGTCAGCAGGCACTTGATGATGGAGAGGCATGATTGCCTACACTAGTCAGCAGGCACTTGATGATGTTAAACATAAAGGGGGGAAATCTAAATTGCAACATGAAACTAATCACCATGTTGCAACACCACTGACATACTGTTATTAAGTCCTGCTGGTGACACAGTCAATATTGTTCATGATCCAAACAGCAAATGAGATATGGTATAGCCAGCATTAGGAGGGTCAGCTCTGTCGACTTGACCAAACATTTGTCAGCAAATTCATCAAGCTCAGCTGTTTTGGATGGACAAAAGTCTACCATGATTGAAGTTCAAACTCAGGGCTCTTCTGATGGCACCAACCACTAGTCAGGGCTCTTCTGATGGCACTAACCACTAGACCACATCAGGGGACGATGGTTAACTAAGGGAGACTTGCTGGATGGGATGACAGAAGAGCATACAGACAATCAGCATTTGGACACATCAAGAACAAAGTAAAAATGCCTCTGAAGAGCTGCAGGAGTGTCAAGGACAGGCAGAAAAAGACATCATGAAATCAGACGAATGCTAGGAATAAAGCCAGTCTTACAAGTCATCAAAGAACAACAAATGAAGTGGTTTGGACACCTAACAAGAATGCCCTGGTACTATCTGCCACAGCGAGCCACACTGAAACGTTACAACGGGTATAGAGCGAGTGGAAGACCTCGGAAAATAGGGAGTGATGGCATTAAGAACAGCCTTACAGAAATGAACATCAGTCTTAATAGTGCTCTTGACAGAGCTCATTAACGAATGTTACATCCCCCCCCCCTTTTTTCACTGAGGTACAAGGTGGAAGAGAAGAAGAACAAAGAGAACAGCTGTTTGTGGAGACAAATCCCATAAGTGTCTGTACCACTCAGCATGAAACAACAAACACTGGTGTGGGTAGTATCATGGTAACAATAGTGCCAATGGATGTTGCAGAAATATAATACAATAAATCCTTAAAATGTTGATCAGCATTATTTATGTGTAGAGTGGACATATTTGCATGATCTCACAGCCAATGAGAGATTTGTTGGCATGTAGTCAAACCCCATGAGCAAGTGAGAACAGAAGGCTTCAGATCATCAATAGCCCGTCTGACAATGTTTTGGCCATTACCTTCACAACACTAGTGATTGATGGCCCCCACCTGGTACACGACTTCCATTTGTTTCTCTTGCTGTTTATCTGATTCCAATAACCAAACTTAAAACAAGGGTTGAGTGCTTTTAAATCATGTTTCATGACTGGGTTATCATATGTGCTCACCTAACAGGCATTCTGGTCCCAGGAACACAACAATTGTGTATCTCATGACTGGGTTATCATATGTGCTCACCTAACAGGCATTCTGGCCTCAGGAACACAACAATTGTGTATCTCATGACTGGGTTATCATATGTGCTCACCTAACAGGCATTCTGGCCTCAGGAACACAACAGTTGTGTATCGCATGACTGGGTTATCATATGTGCTCACCTAACAGGCATTCTGGCCTCAGGAACACAACAATTGTGTATCGCATGACTGGGTTATCATATGTGCTCACCTAACAGGCATTCTGGTCCCAGGAACACAACAATTGTGTATCGCATGACTGGGTTATCATATGTGCTCACCTAACAGGCATTCTGGTCCCAGGAACACAACAATTGTGTATCGCATGACTGGGTTATCATATGTGCTCACCTAACAGGCATTCTGGTCCCAGGAACACAACAATTGTGTATCGCATGACTGGGTTATCATATGTGCTCACCTAACAGGCATTCTGGCCTCAGGAACACAACAATTGTGTATTGCATGACTCGTCTTAGCTGCATTTAACGCCCACCTATTAGCATAATGAAAAACTAATGTATATTTTCTTGTCCAGCAATGTGGTCAGTGTTTTGCTGTCTAATTTTTTATATGGCCCCAGATGAGCCATGTGTTCAGTGTCAGGCTGTCAGATTCTCAACCGGCAACTAGACATCTGGCTTGAACTCAGGACCATTAGAATTCAGGCCTGTGCACTAGCACCCATCACTTCTAGCAAGTCAGCACATCTGTGTATATGACCAATAGAAACCTTTCAATGGCTTATAACATGATTAGATTGTAAGTTGGCAGCTGTATATGAAGTATAAACTGTTTTTAAGTTTATAATCAGTCTTGCCAATCAGGTCGACCCAGCCTTAAATGGGTAACAGGATGGGTGTCCTGGGGAAGTAAAGACGACCGACGTAATGCTGACCACCTTACTCACCTAGTGCCAATTCATCATCATCATGTAGCAGATCCTTTGCAGAACGTCGCTCTCATCACAGTCTGCCTGAAAGAAACTCGGTCTCTCGCCTCATGACTCAAGGAGTCACTTATATCCTGTGCCCATCTTAGATGTGATCTGCCAGGCCTGGGGGCCTCATCATCAGTAGGTACTAGAGAGAGGATCGATTGGCCGAACGCTGGTCTCTCATATGGAAGACCCAGGATCAAATGTCGGGTAAGGTTAGGGGATTTTCTTCTGTCGGGGACAAAAATAAAATCCCAACCTGCAAAGTCCATGGTGGCAGCACTAGCCACGCAGCCCCAAAGCCTTAGGCACAAATATCCCCCGCTCACACAGCCCCAGGCTCAAATATCCCCCACTCACACAGCCCCAGGCTCAAATATCCCCCGCTCACACAGCCCCAAAACCTCAGACTCAAATATCCCCCGCTCACACAGCCCCAAAACCTCAGACTCAAATATTCCCTGCTCACACAGACCCAAAGCCTCAGGCTCAAATATTCACCGCTCACACAGTCCTAAATTGTCAGGCTCAAAGATCCCCGCTCACACAGCCCTAAAGCCTTAGGCTCAAATATCCCCGCTCACACAGCCCTAAAGCCTTAGGCTTAAATATTCCCCGCTCACACAGCCCTAAATCCTCATGCTCAAATATTCCCCGCTCACACAGCCCCAAAGCTTTAGGCTCAAATATTCCCCACTCACACAGCCCCAAAGCCTTAGGCTCAAATATTCCCCGCTCACACAGCCCCAAAGCCTTCGGCTCAAATATTCCCCGCTCACACAGCCTCAGGCTCAAATATCCCCGCTCACACAGCCCTAAATCCTCATACTCAAATATTCCCTGCTCACACAGCCCCAAAGCCTCAGGCTCAAATATTCCCCGCTCACACAGCCTCAGGCTCAAATATTCCCCGCTCACACAGCCCCAAAGCCTCAGGCTAAAATATTCCCAACTCACACAGCCTCAGGCTCAAATATTCCCCGCTCACACAGCACAAATGGTAAAGACAAGCAGTAATAGCAGGCTTATTTATCTTTTCTTGTATGTTTATTTGACGGGTCAACATCATGCCACATGTGTAACCCAAAGTGCTCCGTTCAACTTTGAACTCAAACCTGAGTCCGAAGAATCTCAGCGCAGTGCATGATGTTGTTCCGGCGAGGATCCTGAAATACATTTGGGTAGATTTTTTTCTTTTTTTGTGTGCAATGTAGCACTAGCAGTCACATTATGCGTCGTGATTATTCTTTTCTCAGCTCCTCTGGGATATTACTTTTAGAAATGTATGCTTCTCATGGCATGCTTTCTTAGCTATTGTATTGTCAGAACCTAGTTGTTGTGTAGCAGTTGCAAAAGGTGATGACCTCTACAGCACAGTCACCTGGAATATGCGACCTGCTTACTGCGTGTGTAGACAGATCAGAGTTCAGCAAAAGGTGATGACCTCTACAACAGTCACCTGAGATATGCGACCTGCTTGCTGCATGTGTAGACAGAGCTGAGTTCAGCAACAGGTGATGACCTCTACAGCACAGTCACCTGGGATATGCGACCTGCTTACTACGTGTGTAGACAGATCAGAGCTGAGTGCAGCAAAAGAGAAAGTATATCATCAACATAGTATATGTAATAGTGATATGCCGAAACTACAAACCCAATATCTAAGATATAACAGGAGACATCGTCTGGAAGTGCAAGCAGCTCCAAGGCTCTCTCTGACAACTTCTGCTGGATGTCTATCATATGAGTGCTGAAAAAAGATAGAGGGCATGAGTGTCAACAAAAAGTGTGCGTGTGTGTGTACATATATGTATGTATTATGTATCCATGCATGTATGAAAGGAAAAAAAAAAGAGAAAGAGAAAGAAAGAAAAGCTTCTTTGTGTATGTAGCTCACTTTCAACTCATTCAGTAGGAAACAAGTCTCCAGGCTTGAAACTACAGACAATAATATTCTGAATAACCTTGTCCCCCATACATTTGCTACATTAACCTACTCTGCCCAAACTAATGCTTCAAATTATTCCTTCCTTCTTATGGGGAAGTGGCTAGCTAGGCACTCGGATGGGAGACTTCAAACCCTTGGTAAGATAGAGGCAATTCGCCTGTCAGAGGCAAAAATACAAATGCTAACTTGCACAGTTCACGGTGACAGCATTTGCCACGTGGCTCTAAACTCCCTTGTTAGGACCCTCTGTGCTACACTGCCTCTAGATGTGGTAATTACACTCAGTAGAGTCTTTCACTCAAGGTGTGGTAATTACAATCAGTAGAGTCTTTTACTCAAGGTGTGGTAATTACAATCAGTAGAGTCTTTCACTCAAGGTGTGGTAATTACACTCAGTAGAGTCTTTCACTCAAGGTGTGGTAATTACACTCAGTAGAGTCTTTCACTCAAGGTGTCTTTTAAGAAACTCTCTGAGACCCAAACATTTGTTAGTTCAAGTAATAACTCAGGACAACGCTATTCAACTGGTACCACACGGAGGTCCAACAAGTGGCCCACGGATCACTACCAACTGGTACCACACGGAGGTCCAACAAGTGGCCTACGGATCACTACCAACTGGTACCACACGGAGGTCCAACAAGTGGCCCACGGATCACTACCAACTGGTACCACACGGAGGTCCAACAAGTGGCCCACGGATCACTACCAACTGGTACCACACGGAGGTCCAACAAGTGGCCCACAGATCACTACCAACTGGTACCACACAGAGGTCCAACAAGTGGCCCACGGATCACTACCAACTGGTGCCACACGGAGGTCCAACAAGTGGCCCACGGATCACTACCAACTGGTACCACACGGAGGTCTAACAAGTGGCCCACGGATCACTACCAACTGGTACCACACGGAGGTCCAACAAGTGGCCCACAGATCACTACCAATTGTGTTGTGTTAATGAGCTTTCTATGCCTGGGCTTGGGCTTCTGACCCTTGATGATGACCATTTTCAAAATGCTGGCCCCTGAGTTGTCCAATAGCCCTGACTAAGGATATCACCAGCTGAAGTAGGATCAATGTGGCAATAAAAGAGAAACAATGTATAAACATGATCTCATCAACACAGACATACAAGATATCAGCAACCTCACTGTGATCAGACAACAGCCACAGACATCGCCAGTGTGGCCACAAAGAGCCACAGCTACATGTGATGCAAGCTCTCACACAAACTTGAACCTGCAGTACACAACTGCAGACTTGTTTCACATTAGGCTACAGTGTCAGAGAGTGGAGCACACACTAATACCATGGCAGTCTGAAGTAAACCTGGCTGACCATTTTGTAACCAGGCATCAACTGCCCACATTACACATTGCAGTGGTATTATACCATGCGTATAAACTGTAAACCCCCTGTTCCCTTTACTCATTAAACACTATTACTTTTCTTTTTCTATGTTAAATTCCCCCCCCCCCCACCAAAAAACAACTGCTGCATTGTCCTATCTACTGAAATCATGTATGGCTTGCCCTGTATTCTTCCCTTCTATTATCACCTCACTCTCTATTTCTCTTCTCAGTGTTTTTTGTTGTTGTCTGCCTTTATTTCTTTGATCCCTTAGGTTCCAATTCACGGACATTCTTGTTATACTATTATCAGGTTTTCTCACTGTCTGTCCCAACAAAAATCCAGCATCTTTCCCCCATAATTCTGGTTTCACTTGTATCAGTTGAGTTCCTGTTTACAGTGGGCTGGTTGTTGTGGCTTCGGTGTTTTCTGGGATGAGGCAGCCAACTCTAGCCTAGGTGATCTTTGATATGCTTCCCAGAAGGGCCTAGTAATATGGCAGTATAAAAACCTTACCGGAGATAACATTTGGAGACAGATAAACAAGAGGTAGACAGCAACACATATTAAAATGATTATATCAGAAATTTTTTTTTTTAAAGTAAGAGAGTGTGGGACTCTCCAGGGTGGGAGATAAGATTGTTGGACATCTGTTGCCAACATTCATTGTGGACACGGTACCAGGCTGATCACTTTACTGATCCTCTCAACCCAACAACAATGCGGACTCTGACATACTGTTCCTAGAATTTGGGAAACCAACAAGCAATACCAGTCACAGTTCTCATCCCTGACAGTGCGTAACAGTGTGTGAATGTGAGCATTTGCTTGAATTTATGTAATGTGTAAGCTTGCTGATGACTAGCATACCAAATCTGTTACTTACTTGCTTGTGTATTTTGCTGCTTCCGTTTCATTGTAAAACTGGAAAAAGAAGGAGTAAACTAAAATGTTATTTCAGCTTAACAATCTTCTGACAATGTAAGAACTCAGTCGAGTAAAAGTCTTCTGACAATGTAAGAACTCAGTCGAGTAAAAGTCTTCTGACAATGTAAGAACTCAGTCGAGTAAAAGTCTTCTGACAATGTAAGAACTCAGTCGAGTAAAAGTCTTCTGACAATGTAAGAACTCAGTCGAGTAAAAGTCTTCTGACAATGTAAGAACTCGGTCGAGTAAAAGTCTTCTGATAATGTAAAAGAACTAAGAACAGTAACAGAGTTTGTATGCAAATGAATAAAAGTAAAAGCAGATGTCAAATGGGACAGCAGTTGATAAATCTAAACATAATATTAATTTATTTTGTCTGGATTCAAATAAAGACACTTTGAATCATGACGTTGATCACTAAACTTAACAGTGGTCGGCCAAGAAGTCAAACCAAGTTGTCGAAGCTACAAGTTGCCGGACAAAACTATGAGCTGAGTCGCAAGTCACTGGGTGTCCTGAGTCCAAGTCGCGTGACTCGAGTCCCAACCTCTGCTCTATAGACTAGTAAGATTATAAATTTTGTCACACCTATTCATCTAGAGATGCTGTGTGACATACAGGTCTGCCCTAGAGTGACATTCAGATGCTGCTTGAATAAGATTAAATATGTCTCACTGCAGATGTGTCAAGTCAGCCGCCAAAAACTCAGCTGCTGTGTTTTAGTATTAAATACAAAATGACTATTTTTTTTACAACAATGTTTTATCGTAATGAATTTAAATAATGCGGATACAAACAATATATTGCACAGTTTATTGCCAGGCAAATTTTGCTGTATCTCATCAACGCTTCAGATATTTTTTCAGACTATTTTTCACCTTAAAAGTAAAAAGATTTTTTTTTCATTTTGTTCCACGCCCACAGAGTGAAATCATCAAGTTACTGAACAAAATGTTTTATGATATTTCTGTTAAGGGACTCACACAAGACAACTTTACTTATTCACAAACCTTAGTAAAACTTAGGCTGTCTCAACAATGTGTGTGTGTGTGTGTGTGTGGGTGTGTAAGTGTGTGTGTGTGTGTGGGTGTGTAAGTGTGTGTGGGTCATGAGTCATGAGAAAAGAAAAAAGTGCTGCATGTCAAGACAGACGGAAAACAATTGGAACCATATTTATGTCAAGAGAGATGGGGGAAGATTTCTCGGCAGACAGAGACAGACTTTTCCTAACTCAATGGCGTGGGAGGACAGGTGTCTTGTCAGACTAACTGTATTACTACATGTTAATGTTATTGTTTATTACAATTTAACATTAAACTAAAATGTTTATTGTTTCATAGTTTCATGTTTGTTCGGGGGATCGCAAAGTAAAAAAAGTAAATAAAAGTGTACAGACTATAGTACAAAGGCGTGATGGGCAAGCATTACACGCTATCTCTGGCAAGCACTACATAACGGTATCTCAGTATTTGTGTAATATGTAAAATTTACTGAATGCTTACAATTTCTGGCGGAGCCTGGTGCTCTGGTCGTCCTGACGAGGACATGTTTACAATCGGCGTGTGCGAGACTCCAGCTCCAGCAAGAAAACAGATCCAACTTTTACATGAGACCCACAACAACGCCAGGTAAACCACTGACAATCTGGCAATAGAATCCATTCTACAATCGCCCCAGTGTTCTGAAATACACCAGTGTTTCTCAACCTTTACCCCCGCGGCCAACCAACAATGGAGAAATTGTTTCGCGGGCAACATGACAGCTAACAAAACATAGACACAACAACAAATATATGTGGCAGTTTATTTGCTGAAACTGATGTCGCAAAACTATAACTTTCAGCTAATTTGAAAATCTGACAGACCAAGCACTGCAGTATCACTCCTTCGATTAATCTGGTTTGCTTATTATTTCTGAGATGGCTGGCAAAGTCTCTTTACACTAATAGGAAATCCTAAAGGACCAACAATCCGATAGCTCTAAAAAATCAGACACAGACATTCTTTTTGTAAACTCAGGAAATGATTGTATTGTATGTCACGATTGACATCAAAAGACAACTTGATCTGTCTTTCTTTTGCATGATAATTAATGTTTTCAGCAAAAATCTTTAACTGCTGACATTTTATACTTAAAAATTACCTGCACTTGTTTGATTTTCATCCCTTGGACGTACAAGCTAGCTACATACAGGACACGAACATCTACCTATTGTACGCCGTCCAAATGATACGGCAATCATTTCTGGCGGCTCATCTGAACTTCTCCGCGGTCCACCATTGGGCGGCGATCTATGGGTTGAAGAACACCAATATATATATCTCTGTCATATCTTCTTCTTCTTCTTTTTCTTCTTCTTCTTCTTCTTCTTCTTCTTCTTCTTCTTCTTCTTCTTCTTCTTCTTCTTCTTCTTCTTCTTCTTCTTCTTCTTCTTCTTCTTCTTCTTCTTCTTGTGTGTGTGTGTGTGTGTGTGTGTGTGTGTGTGTACATGATGGGTGTGTGTATTATTCTATAATGTATATATATATTTTTTTTATTATAATAAACATAACATGCATTATTGATATCAGGCATTGTCACTCTAAAAAAAAAGGCCGAATATCAGACGGGCCTGCCTGCCCAATTTGTATCCCTTTGAAAATAAAGTTGGTGTGTTCCTTCTCCTGCCTCCTATCCTCCAGTGGGGCATAGGCTCTCACCCAGCTGATGTCCTCTCGCTTTGTCTTATTGCATGCGGCTCCTCACGTGTCTTCGTCTTTTTTTAAAACTTCACTTTCTAGCTCCCTTCTCCTGTTTTTTTTTTTGGGGGGGTGGGGGGGGGTGAGGGGAGGGGCTATCTTTAGTTCTATGCCCCTGTGGGTTCCAGTGCAAATAAATTCTAGTTTTATTGTTCTCAGGTTTTCTCAACGTGTGTTTTATCAAACGCCAGCGTCTTTTCTTCATCTCTTGGTCCACTGGAACTTGTTCTACATTAGTGATTATATCACACCATCCAGTTCCCTCTTTTTTAAGGCAGGCACCTGTTAATGAATGTTTTTAGTTTATTATTAATTGCCTTAGTTGTTCTCCACGTTTCCGCTCCACACACCAGTATTGATTTGACATTACACCTAACAATGTTAGTATTCGTTTTATTGACCTCCACAAATTTCCAAATACTATGAAAGCTCTTTATTGCTTTTGTATTCGTATTTTTAATATCTGTATCAGTTCCCTCATCTTTATGTACATTATTGCCCAAATAGGTATACGACTCCACGTCTTGGAGTGGGAGACCATTAAGAGAAACAACATTACTATTTGCCTGATTTATTCTCATTGTTTTTGTCTTTCGCTTATGGATTTTTAGCTTCTGTGATCTCGCATCAAATAGGTTTAATTTATCTTGCATCTGATTCCGTGAGTGGGACAAAAGAGAAATATCAAGCTAAGTCCAGGACATCAGACTGATTTATAGGGGTCCATTGAATTTAATTCCAAGTTTTAGGGGTCGCTGTCTTCATAATTTAATCTATGGTCAGTTGTGAGTTATGAGTTAGATTATCTTCACAGCACTCCGGACACATCCATAGGCGCTCAGATTCCCCTCTCAACATATTTATCAGCGTCGTGCGTTTAATAGTACCAGTCCTATGTTGGTTAACAAGACTTCGTGTGCGTTCGGTGTGCTTCTCATGCTTGGCTGTGTCTTTACTCCCACTTCGCGTATTTTTAGCAGTGATGTGGACACGTTGCTTTCAAAATCAACAGAACGTCCTATCTCTCTAAGGGCAAAGACAATGTCTGCGTGATCCGTGGGCCGGCCATCTTCAATAAATGCAGCACCTGCCAGGCTATCAGCTCTCTCGTTACCATCAACGCCTGCATGCCCTGGGACGAATATGAAAGTAACTGCACACACAGAAAAATTTGCAACGACTATGGAGAGTAAAAATAGGATTGGCGACAAAAGACATCCCTGCCGCACACATGTGTTGATTTCATATGTATCTGTTAGCTTTCCCCCATGAACAACTCGACATTTCATATGTATCTGTTAGCTTTCCCCCATGAACAACTCGACATTTCATATGTATCTGTTAGCTTTCCCCCATGAACAACTCGACATTTCATATGTATCTGTTAGCTTTCCCCCATGAACAACTCGACATGTCATGTCTTCACATGTTGCCTTTATTAGGTTATGAATTTTATGTGCGATTCCAAAGGGCCTCATTAATTTCCAGAGATATTCCCTATCAATGCTGTCCAAAATTCTTTTCATAGTCTTCATAAACTATCATCCAATGTAAAGTGATGAATTCAATGCAATGCTTTGCTTTGTTATTATACATACACTGGCTATCAGGTCAGTACATGATCTGTTTGGCCGAAAATCTGCGTGTTCGCCTTTTGACTTTTTATCAGTAGCATTACTTAGTCTTTCAAAGTAATCTGACTTAATATTTTCTCCAGGAACTGACAAGACTAGAATTCCTCTATAGTTTTCACACCTCTGTAGATCACATGTATTCTCCAGTCTGCTGGTATTTCTTTGGTCTCCCAGAAATTAACTGAATAATTTATGTAGCAATTTCGTTGATGTTTATATTGGCCTTTATAACTTCTCCAGGGAGTCATCTGAACCTGCCGCTTTTCCTTCCTTCAGAAGATTGATAGCTTTCCTAATTTTCTCTTGAGATAGTTTCTCACAGCTGACAATGGACACAGAACAATGAATGTTGTTCACAGTGTTCCAGCATGTGATCCTGTCGGTGATGTTAAAATGCTTACCATATCAAAGAGTCAGCTGCTGAAACTTGAACACATACAGAATGAAGCCATGCGGGTGATTCTGGGATGTACAAAAGATACTTTGGTTGTATGTATGTAATATATACTTGCCTTGCCTACTAATGCAGATAGGCTCACAATTCTGCAGTCAAAGTTATATCTCAGAGTAGCTGCAGACAAGAAGCACCTTCTGTATGAAGACCTGGGTAGAGCTAAGGGTAGCAGATTGAAAAGAGGAAGGTCTTGGATGGCGCAGGCTGAGGACACAAATGGACATGTGTGCAGGTTTGATAACTTTGAGCGAGGAGAGGTGTTGGTCAAGGTGTCCAAACAAGTTTCAGACTTGTGTAGGGTTCTAATCACGTCGCAAGTGCAGAAACAAATGATTAATGACAATTCCCGCCCAGGTATTGGTATAAACCAAACCCGCCCAGGTAATGGTATAAACCAAACCCGACTAGGTGATGGTATAAACCAAACCCGCCCAGGTGATTGTATAAACCAAACCCGCCCAGGTTATGTAATAAACCAAACCCGCCCAGGTAATGGTATAAACCAAACCCGCCCAGGTAATGGTATAAACCAAACCCGCCCAGGTAATGGTATAAACCAAACCCGCCCAGGTAATGGTATAAACCAAACCCGCCCAGGTAATGGTATAAACCAAACCCGCCCAGGTGATAGTATAAACCAAACCCGACTAGGTGATGGTATAAACCAAACCCGCCCAGGTGATTGTATAAACCAAACCCGCCCAGGTTATGTAATAAACCAAACCCGCCCAGGTAATGGTATAAACCAAACCCGCCCAGGTAATGGTATAAACCAAACCCGCCCAGGTAATGGTATAAACCAAACCCGCCCAGGTAATGGTATAAACCAAACCCGCCCAGTTAATGGTATAAACCAAACCCGCCCAGGTGATAGTATAAACCAAACCCGACTAGGTGATGGTATAAACCAAACCCGCCCAGGTGATTGTATAAACCAAACCCGCCCAGGTAATGGTATAAACCAAACCCGCCCAGGTGATTGTATAAACCAAACCCGCCCAGGTAATGGTATAAACCAAACCCGCCCAGGTGATTGTATAAACCAAACCCGACCAGGTGATTGTATAAACCAAACCCGACCAAGTGATGTGATTATCTATAAAGACGACAGTGTGTTAAGAGGTAGGTAGGTAGGTGTGTAGTTGTACCCCACCAGGACATCACACAAGCGATAAACACCCGATGTCACAAAGTGCCGCCATGGGGATGAGGATCATCTGTAGAGAGGTACCAGAAACCCCTTTCAGCCGTGGGGCCATGGCCCGGCTATATTCAGGGCCCCCGGCAAAAGTCAGGACGGGGCTTCAAATAACAATTTGTACCTAAATATGTCCTTTATTTTAATGTAAATGTCTCTGAGGTCTCATTTTGTTTGTTGCTTCTCCGCTTCATATCATCTCTCTCTCTCTTTCTCTCTCTCATTCTCTCTCTCATTCTCTCTCTCTCTTTCTCTCTCTCATTCTCTCTCTCATTCTCTCTCTCTTTCTCTCTCTCTCTCTCTCTCTCTCTCTCTCTCTCTCTCTCTCTCTATCTATCTCTCGCACACACAACACAACACAAACCCATAGTTACATGTATGTTAGTTGATAGTGTCACCTACACGTGTTCAGCAAATGACAGTTTTAATTATTATTATCAGCATCATCGTCAACTTTCACTTTTTCCGTTAGGAGGAATCGTTTGCTGTGCACTGCCCCAAGGGTAGCACTAACTGTTGCCAT